GAACAGGTTGGCTTCACCTGCTCGTGCTCGACACGGTGACACTCGATTAATTTTCCCTAAACATTGGGGACATAATGGTGGCAGGAAGCTGCATTTAAAACAGGAAAAACAAATTACACAGCCCTCACTCCACTCTGATATAATGCAATATTAAAAATTCAGATGATTTAGGGCTGGCGCGACTCTAATAGCACTGTGCACGTAATCGCCCTACAGTAAGTGTCGCTTTGGAGCAAACAGCTCAACATTCAACAGCAATCCCGGAGCAATATTACAATATCACTTTGGAAAATCACTCCCACAATCCTCAAAGTATGGATAAACGTTACACAAACTGGGGATTTTTCCAGTCGAAAACCCTTATAGGGATAGAGTAGGCGTTAATGAAGATACGTTGCTCGACCGAAATGCAGACGCTCGTTTCCAAGATTAAACCAGCCGTCAGTTTCTCATCTGAAAAGATCGGGCTGTTTATACGGAACACGGAGTTACGAGGCGGCAGCACAACTACAGCCGTAATCAGGTGCTTATAAAAAAAAAGGGTAAATGGGCCAAGTCGAGAAGTCGCGGAGGTATTAAAATGATCAGGAAACCTGCCCGGTTGCAGGATTTCATTTCACCAATGCAATAACCAGTACCGATGTCTAATAAATATATGATGGGGGGGAACCTTAATCTGCGGCGTTACGTATATTAGCTGGTATGTGGTGCCGCAGATATTGCATTTACAGAGGCGTGTCCGCCGATAACTGGCCCAGGCTGGTAATAATAGCAGCGACAGTCTTACCATTTTGCCGGCTGGTGGCTGAAACGCTCCTTCCCGTAGAGGCGATGCGAGGGGGTTTGCGCGACAGGAGGGGGAGCGGACCGAGCGGTGAGCCTGCGCAACAGCGTGCTTTTTATTTTTATTATTACTATTTTGCAAGGAGGCACCTGTTCTTATAACACACTATCCTGTATGCTTTCTGGTGTTCCTCTGCAGCGGTTTCGGGAGACCCAAAAGAGAGGGGGATGAACAGCGAAGGAGGACTCTGTCGGTGCTCGGAGAAAGAGGCTGAAGGAAGAAAAGGGGTGGAGGAGGGGGAGGTGCAACAGTACAGCACATCCGGGAACCTGCGCCTTTTCCTTTTTTCTAGGTTACAGCTTATGCATAAGGATAATTTTCTTTACATATATTATATACACTCTGCGTTATCCTTTACGTAATATTGATTAGGATGCACCAGATTTTTTTATCCTTATATTTCTGTATTTCCCCATTCCATTGATTTTCATCTTTCCTTCCAATAGGCATGATGAAGCCAAAAAGCGTAGATTGATTACCCTGAACTGCAGGCATATAGACCGTTTTATTTAAAAAGTTCTAAGACATAGTTGTGTTAATTTGTCTGTATGAAATCAGAAGGAGAGAAACTACCCAAACTATACCTATATATCAAATGAACATTATCTAGCAGCTGAGGTGACATTTCCTCGTCTTTGTTTTAACTTTTTTTCATAAAAAATTATATATTGTGGAAGTTTCTCGTTATCAGTTACGTCAACAAATATCAGTATTGCATTAATAGAACACTGTTATTACGCAAAGGCACCGGCCGGTATCCAGTTGTGTCGATTGAACAATGGAGGGCGCTATTTTCACTTTACTCTGAATAATGTACTGAACGACGTAGCTCTGTATGATATTAATTCACTATGATGAATTCTTTGCCATTTTATTTTTCAACTGCAGTCATTTTCGCCGTGAGTGTGCCCCCCGCCCCAGACACGCCGTCACTATTAATAAATTTAAGATGCTTTTAGCACCGCAGTAACAATCATTGCTGCAGTTTCTTGAAATGCATAAATTATATTAATAAGTTAATATAAATAAGCAAATAATTATAAATTAATAACTGGAAGTACCATGACAGATATGAAATGTGCTGCCTGTTAACCTTAAACTTGGCCGAAACAATTTCCATATAAATTTAATTGCACTTAACCCGATCTACCTGCTTTACAAGCTCACGATAGACTTTCAGCGTACATAAGAAAATCTACTGAAAGCACATAGAAGTGTTTTCCTACACCATGCAACACGATCGTTAAATGCATTAAATGCCGATCTCCGCCCTTTGGTTAGCTGTGAATCATGTAACGGTCACAGGCCAGGTAACCGTAGCTACAGACTTTATATATAGAGCCTTCTACATATATGGGCCCGATACTGTGCTATATTCTCCTGGCGTGGTTTAAAAATGCTTTTAGGTCAGATGCGATGCATCTCAGATGAGACTCAAAGTTCACTCGAACACGTTTGCACATAACGCATAAACACATGCAAGATCCTACTTAGTCAATTTCCTTTTCATGACCTAGGGACTCCTTCCCGATTAGGTGACCTTGAATTATAAATAATTTGACAAAGATAAAAGGGCTTTAGGGGGGGGGGGGATGCGAGTTTGCGCACCTGTAAATGGACAATCTGCAGTGAAACCAGGGGCGCAGTTAGAGATTAATGGGTATGATGGCTCAGGCTTTATTAGGGGAGGCTGATGGCAAACTATTCATGACTTCAGCTAGTAAATACACATTTACTTGAGGGGGCTAAAAAGCATTTTAGGGTGGCTAACCTCCCCGCTAAAATAGGTCTAATGATGCCCATGAGTAAAACCATCACCCTGTGTGGCAACAAAGACATTTTGCGGCAAATTGCACCACATCCCATGGCAACCTGAGCAACTGTTACCTAAAATGTTGTCTACTGGCATACAGGACAGGCTGACTTATGCTCTACCATGACTGATGTCCCCCCCCCCCCACACACACACACACTTTTCAGAGAGAATAGGTTAATGTAGACTAGCACTGGGGGGACAAGGCACCTCGAAAGGCCAGGCATTCGTGGGGGAGGGAGTGTCCCATTTGCCCACCTCTTATCTGAGCCGCTGTAACCTTTCATGGCCTCCTAAATAAAGCATGTGACCACAGGGGTTGTCAGTACGATTTGATTAACAGCTGTCTGTTGCAGGAGAGGGGGCAGTCACATGACATGGTGTTGACCTGCTCATGTGTGAATCCACTTATCTGTAGTGTGCTTATATCTCCGGTGCATGGGTGACTATGGATTCATAACATGTGTAACAGCTAACACGCATTTAATCAGCAACAGGCACGTCTGTGAGATGCACCATTAAAAAAAATGGTTCCCATTTCTTTGAAAATATTTCTTTTACAGTTTCATGAAATCACATTCATTGTATATCAGTGTATTGGAATATAATTAAGCAATTAAATTTATATGTACATGGATCAGGCGTAACATTAAAGCCACTGACAGGTGTAGTGAATGACTTTGATTATCCCGTTACAGTGGCCCCTGTCAAGGGCGGCATTATATATTTGGCAAGTGAACAGTCACTTCTTGAAGTTGATGTGTTGAGAGCAGGAAAATGGGCAAGTGTAAGGATCTGAGCAACTTTAACAAGGACTAAATTGTCATGATTATAAGACTGGGTCAGAGCATCTCCAAACCTGAAGATCTTGTGGGGAGTTCCAGGTATGCAGTGCCCAGTACCTACCAATAGTGGTGAATGGAAGGCCAACCAATGAACCAGCAATGATGTCATGGGCACCCGAGACTCATTGATCCCACAGGAGAGCTACTGTAGCACAAATTCCTGAAAAGTTAATGCTGGCTATAATAGAAAGGTGTCAGAACACACAGTGCATCATAGCTTGGTGCGTATAGAGGCTGCGTAGCCGCAGACCAATCAGAGTGCCCATGCCGATTCCTGTCTATTGCCAAAGGCGTCTACAATGGGCATGTGAGCATCAGAATTGGACCATGGAGGAATGGAAGAAGGTGTCCTGGTCTGATGACCCACGTTTTCTGTTACATCATGTGGACGGCTGGGTGCGTGTGCATCATTTACCAGGGGAAGAGATGGAACCAGGGTGCACTATGGGAAGAAGGCAAGCCAGAGGAGGCAGTGTGATGCTCTGGGTGATGTTCTGCTGGGAAACCTGGGTCCTGGCCTTCATATGGATGTTACTTTGACACGTACCACACCATAAACACTGTTGAAGACCAGGAACACCCCTTTATGGCAACGGTATTCCATGATGGCTGCTTTCAGCAGGACAATACGCCCTGCCACAGTGCAAAACGAGTTCAGGAATGGCTTAAGGACCTTGAAAAAGTGTTCAAGATAATGATTTGGCCTTCAAATTCCCTAGATCTCGATCCAATTGAGCATCTGTGGGATGTGCTGGACAAACAAGTCCAGTCCACGGAGGCCCCACCTCGCAACCTAGAGGACTTCAAGGATCTGCTGCCAACATCTTGGTGGAAGATGCCACAGGACACCTTCAGAGGTCTTGTGGAGTCCATGCCTCGGTGGGTCAGAGCTGTTTTGGTGGTGAAGGGGCACCTACACCATACTAGGCAGGTGGTTGTAACGTTATGGTTGATCGGTGTATATTGAATAGCTGAGATTGAAGAAAATCTGAGTTATTGTAATCCTCAAGATAAACCTTTAAGCTGTGAATGAAGGAATTCCTACTTAGGCTATTCACCATAGAACTGACACCCAAAGCTGGAAAAAAAATTTAATTGGGAGAGCCAGCCTCCAAGTATTAAGTAAATAGTCACAATTTAGTATATACTATAAATAAGTGTCCAAAAAGATGTTTAAAAATAGTGAACCAAAGAATATTTGCTGGAAAGCTACAAAGCAGAGTGCTGTGTAAACATGAGTTTATCTTAAGGGTAGGACCTGTTTATATTGAGGAACTGAGATGCATTTAAATTGTTGGTCGCCGACACAGCGCCACCTACCGTGAAAAACGAGTAATATATATTTAAAAATGTTACTTCAGTCAGATCCATTACATAATATTAGGTGTTATCCTGTATTTTTAATATATCAAAATAAGACATGAATTATGGCAAACACACAGAAGGTGAGATAGCATGAACACTCTTGTGAAGAATTTAATGAACAAAAAGACAGCAAGAGAATCAAATAGCCTGTTTTATTGAACTGAGTTGTTTGCAGTTATGCTTTGCCAGCATTTTCACATCTTGTCTCTGATGAGTTTTTCGTTGCCTTTCAAAACTGTCTAATAATTTAATAAGTATGAATAATTTCACTACAAAAAAAAATCACAACTACAATACACATTGGCTGTTACCCTGTTAATATCAGTATATATTTTTGTGATATAGGTCTGGAAACAATTCACAACAGAGCAACACTAATTGAGTAAAAGCTGCCAGGCTGCCATCCTGTGACCCCAAAGTATCATTAATAAATAAGTCACCTAACAAAAGAACTTGTCTGACACTTTCTTTTTTGTCTGCCGCAGCTTCCATTCTGCTTCTGCTGTTCGTAAGCAGATAAAGGAGGATAATATTTCATAAGAATAATAAATAATCATACACAAAGTTTACAGAACACAAGTACTGAACCACTGAGCGGAAAAAAACTAAAACACAGTGTCCACTCACACAACAGGTCAACTGATAAACGTCCCCAGTCGGCTAGCTGTGAACTCAGCTCTGCCAAAGACAGGAGACAGGCGATAACTTTATTGGTTCCACGTGTGCACCGTTGGATAAGGCTTCATGCTGGCGTGTGCTGGCGTTTCCGCTGGGGTTCAGATGCTGGTGGTACCCTTGCCGAGCGTGGCTTGGTCGGGTACCCACCCTCATACAAACATCTCCTTGTTGATCCACATCAAACTGCGGGTTTCGTTGGGCTTGCACTCGTACTCTATGTTAGAGAAGCTGTTTCCCCATTGGCAGTGGTCCCGCTTGTGGTAATTGTAGTACTTGACCTGCCACACGGTCTCAAACGTGCCCGCCTCCGGGAACTAATACAGGACAAGACAGACAGAGACATACAAAGTCAGTCGGTGACCTGCACAATTTGTCAGCCACTGCAACGAAATATAAACATTCCGATCTGATGCGTATAGATCCAACTCAGTTACTCATTCGGCTATAACAGTTAAAAGAAATCCTGATCTTAAGTATAATCAATTCAGTTGTGACCAAAATAACTGAAATGATCTCTGGCCAAGCAATATTTCATTAGGGTTCTGTTAACAATTAAATGCTTAAACTACCTTAAAATAATTAAATTGACCAGAGAACAAAAAAAAATCATAATAAAAACGTGTAAAAACATCTAAGGCTATTCTGTAAAATACAATATTGACGTGAGAATGTTTGCAAAGCGCTTTACAGGTGTATTTAAATCGCTTTTACTATCACAAGACTAAACTGCCTCATTTTAATGTGCACACGTAGTAATGTTCAAATGTCACCTCATCTTAAAATAGGGGAAACTTTACAATAAAGCGCTCGCTTTATTTTTGGTGAGCTAAGTATGATTTCATACGGACGAATGATTTCTGCCAGATACCGATCGTACAAATATACTGATTGTGACACTAATTGCGATCAATATTTCTCCCTCGGAGCTGGTATTCGGGGTGTGGGTAGGGTAAAACACGCCAGCTCCTTTTCACGCCGCTCATTACACATATGAATATATGAAAATTCAATCAGCACACTTCGGCAATTACGTCCTCGGATGCAGATGGGTATTACCTGTATGCTGACCTGGACAGGCTGCCTCTCCCCGCTTTTGGTGTGCGTCACTCCCTCGGTGTCATAGGTCCCGTTATAAACCACCGACTGGGGGTCTTTGGACTGCTGCTCCAGAGGGAAACTTATCCCGCCTATGCTCATGGTGCTGCAAAAGCACAATGCAAAACCAGCGTTTGACATTGGCATTGATTTCCAGCTGGTCTGCATCTCAAAGGGTTCAACACACACGGTTCATCAAACATGTCTACGCAAAAAAATGTAAATTAAAAAAAAATCCATGAATTAAAGCGTCAGTATTTCCGCCATGATATGGGACTATATTTTTTTACTTTACCGTTCGGTGTAAAGATAATATTTAACTCAAAATGTGAAAATGAGGTCATCGCCGGCCTAAATGACGGATTTATCACCTGCTGTGGATTTGGAAAGCTATGCCCAGGATCAATCTGCGCCTCCTGTCATGCATTCGCGATATAAATGACAGACTCACACCGATGAATAGGTATCACAGTCGATCATTAAATTAAAAACAGTGCTTTTACCATCTTGGCCGGTTCTTATGCACGAGATGGCTTTGGTTGAGAGAAAATACGGGAATCGCGATTAGTTTTTTCCCCGGGGGGTGGGCTGACAGAACACACCCTTTTCTTTATTACCGTATATTTTACACGTCAGACCAAAGTCCACGAACGCTCCGATTAACCCAGATCCGTGAACATGCATATATCAGGATTAGGCCTATTATATTAGGAAAACAAATTGCACAATCCTGATAAATCTAGGACTGGATGCATGTTACGGGCCTTGAGAATATTAGATTACGGTGGATGTGGAGGGCAGTGAATGAACATGATGCGGCTGCAAGTCATCAGAATAAACGGATAAATGTTGTGTGTGCAACATTAACGAAGCGTGCATGAGCAGAGCCGATAGCCGATTCACGGGTCCGATCGCGATGTGACTTACGTTGCCTCCACGGCCCCAGGCTTCACCACCACCTCGATTTTGTACTTTGATCCAGTTAGCAGCTTGATCGTCCTGTTCTGTCCGAATCTCGACCCGTCCACTTTAAAAAACACCGGCCCGTCGTTGGGCTGTATTTTAAGGGCGACGGCGATTCTGATCAGCTGCGGAATGTCGCCCATTATTGCCCGCGATAGGACCGCTGCTCGGCCGAATGTCTTTCCGAGGAGACGCCAAAAGGAGGGGCAAGCTGAGGATTCCTAGCGGCAATACTGGCTAGATAGGTACAATATTATGACGTACCCCTTCTAGGCAAAAAAACGTGGAAAAACATTGCCGGCGGATGTTCATAATAAAATTTTACATCTCCCTCGCCATAATCCTTCCCCTGACAAAGAGATAATCCCTGCAATGCTCCTGTAGTCATTAACTACAGACACGTGGGCTGTTTAAGGCGCGACACTATTCCCTTGGTTGTATTGCAATCCCATATTCTTTTCCAGTTTCTCATATATACCTATGTTTATTGATTTCCCACACATACGTCGTTAGACTGTATAACATTTCGTTCATGGCATGTTTTCTCTTTTAAGTTTATGGCAATATAGGAACATATAAATTTCACATTTGTGGTGTTGCTTAGGCCTGATACAATTCAGGTTAAGAAGTTTATGTCATCGTCTACTAATTAGATTTTTGAAGAATCGTTTTTCAGGACCTCAGTTCTGCAGGGTCGAATTGATTACTGAATTTGACTGGTTTTCTCTGTCCTTAGTGCTGAAAGCGAAGCGCTTTATGTTCGCATACTGAGGCAGGCAGTGCACGTTATAGGCGTTGTATTTAGCTGAATGTCTTTATACTGAAAAAAAAAACAATTTAGGGGAGGTAGAGAGCTTGAACTTTTGTATTTTTATGAGTATTTTTGTCATATAAAAGTCTTCTAAACTAATGGGAAACAATTATGTGAAATCTACATTTATACTTAAACTCTTTTTTAGATCTACTTGGTGTACAGTTATAAATCTTTGGTAATTATATACTGGAATTTAAAGTATGTATTATTTTCTATTGCAATGTATTTGAAAGCGTTAAATACAGAAAAATAATACTACCAGCAGAGGGCAGCCTATGTACTTATTTCACCACAGTATTGAGTACTGATGCTTATTCTTGACTATACTATTCATCCACTCTCTTAACCGCTGAATTCATTGTCTTGAGCTTTTCCCAGAAAGGATGTGGCATGAATCAGGGCACAATGGATGGCATTTCAGCCCATCGCAGGACACGCTGTAACATGCTCCATCATACACTGTGGGCCGTTTAGAGACACCTAACAGTAATGTTTTTGGGCTGCGTGATGAGGGATGTGTAAACAGGGAGAATATGCAAACTCCACAGACCCCAGGAATGCAAACCACCGGCCTGGAGGAGTGAGGTTGCAGTGCTATCCTTTGTGCCACATGAGTTTAAAAAAAAAAAAAAACAGTGCCCACCAATAGGGCTACGTTCTGGTTTGCATGCATATATTTCTCATGTAGCAGCCACTTAGTGTGAAGGGAAGTGGTGAATGCATATGAACTTCAACCATGAAATAATAGAACCAAACCTACCAAAGCAGAAAAACTCTTTGTGCCAGGATATCATGCCTTTTCCTGCATGCACCCAGGAGATAAGCTATTGCATATAAACACCAGCTTACTCAGCACAACCCATGTCAGTTTGTGGCTCTTTGATAAGGTTCCCATTCTCTAGCATCCCAGTGCTATATAATCTATCTATCTTCCTATCTTATTTCCCCACAGTCATCAAAGCTACTATGACCAACGTACATCAATGTGCATTATTCCTCATATAAAGAGATGGTTAGTAGAACTGTACTACTTCTGAGTAAACGTAGGGACTAAAGCAAGCAGAGTCCAACACACTTGCGGAGGGTACGCCCACGAGACTTCGGCATGCTGCAGAATCACAAAGACGGCAGCTCCAGCCTCAGATGGCCGTTACTTTCACTTTCCCCTGTGTAGACGTTCAAAGCTGTGCGATCTTCGACAAACATGCAAAGAAGTTTGATTTTTCGTAAAACATGCGCAATAGTAGTAACTGGCCTACTGTAATATCTCAGGGAGCGTAGAGTATTTGCTAGGAAAGGGTGTGATGATGCTATCATCAAAAAGCAGTCAGAGGTATTACTGAAGATGAACAGTGCAGAAGTTTATTCGACCTAAAGGTTAGTAACCAGAAACATGTGTCCTTGAGCTTTTGCTCCTAAAGGAGTAGCTCAGAATTCTACAGCAACATTTCATATGACATAGTTGTTAGTCATTGTGACACTGTGTAGGAAGCATAAAAAAACCGTAAAGGGAGCCCTTTGGTTGGCAAGCAGAGAGGGGAGGAAGTAGCAGAAACCTCACTGACTTCGGCACGACGAGTCCAGCTGCAGAATCTTCCTCCTTCTGAGGCAGCCCACCCTCCCTGTTCTGCCGAGAGCTGGTCCCCCAAGCTCTGCACTTCGAGATCAATGGAGCCTGAGCAGATTAGAGAAGGCTACCTCGTCAAAAAGGTACGAGCGGTATGAGTGGAGACAAGACAGCGGCAGGCCAGATGGGGAAATGATGGACAGTCCATCTCCGTAACAGAAAAGGCAATGGGGAAGAAGTCCGTATCGGGGCATAGTCAAGTAACATCATTTGGCCATTGTTGTGAATGTAAAATCTGCAAAGTAATAGTACAAAGCAAATATAGACAGTTTTAAGGTAAAGTTGGACTTAAAATATAGTTGTATTAATAGATCATTAATAACAAAGTTCTTACGTGCGTGGTGTGACATGCAACTCCTTGAAAATTTAACTGAAAGTAAAATATGATTTGGAACAGTTATTTTATAATGCAATTGAAATGAGCACTTAAATCCGTGTTGATGTCGGTTTTTGGTTATTTCTATTGAATAAGAGTGAGGAGTAGCAAAACAAACACAGGAGGTGATGCATTTATAAGACATTCACCAATAACCCACATCTGTTTAGGACAGAAGGGCGATGTACAGTATTGGTCAGAAACTTTCTTGTACTCATAACTGCAGGTACCCAATGGGCACTTGAATCAGTGTGTTACCTTACAGCCACTCATTGCCAAGCTAAAAATATGTATAACCGGAATGGTAACACTTTGCTTGTGATGGACCAAACAAAGTAGTGTTATGTTCTTACTTATGTATTAAATAATCCCAAAGGCCTACTAAGTTTTAGTTACATACTGATCTGTTCATTTATCATTTATGAATCGTAATGCCTCTTCTATCTCAAGCAATTACTATATTTGTTACTATACTGGTTAAAGTTGTAAACCTGTGTGAATGACTGAAGGAACTAATGAAGGAACAAGTCGTGGATAACATAAGGGAAAGGAAATACTGATCTCAGGTTTGATCATCATTAATGATGGCAGCTCTCTTATATCTGAAGTAGCAACTACATTTGCTATATTTCATTTGTACTTCAGTAGTAACTGAGTACCTACTAAGTATTTGTGCCCTGATAGGTAAACTCTTAATCTGGATGCCACATAGATTAACACATTAGGAAGTTTGTGTTCCATGTGATTCTTCTAATTAGATTATATTAGATAAACTTTTTTGGACCCAGGGGGAAATTCTTGGTATTGCACAGCCAATTGCACTGCACGAGTATTGTGTTACATAAAAATTGTCTTCCGTGAGGCTGCGTGTGGCACTTTTGCGACTGGTGTTCTTGAACAAGTCTAGTCAACCGACCCTGACGCAAACGAACCACGGTGGTTTCAGTGGGAGTCTGTCGAACTGCACTATTTGCGTCACCATCCACTGACCTGACCCAGTCAAACACGCCAGCTTCACACTTATGGAAAACATATGTGGACCTTTAAACTGTGCGACACCTCCCACACGGACCAACACCCGCCCTCTGGTCACCAAAAACGAAAAAATATATAAGGGCGGGGACAAAACTGGTCTATATATATATTTCTGTCACAAAGACATGATCTTGTGACCACATCACTGGCAGTTCCTCTGGCTAAATTTAAAAGCTCAACAGCGTAGTTGCAAAATAATTCAATGTGCTGGATTTGCAAACTGAAAAAAAAGCAACAGGAATTATGAAATAGCATTCCAGCAGGAGCAAAACAAGACTATGCTGTCATCCTCCCAGTTTTTGTTGGGCATATTTAGCAACATATAAAATATTTTTGCCTGTCATGCTTTAAAAGTTGGGCTGAATTCTCTGAAACTGGTAAGTGAATTCTACATGCTGTCTACTTATTGTAGGTAGACATTGTATTAATTAATTGCCTGACGAAATTCTCCCACAAGAGAAGAGTGCAGAAACATTTTATTGTTCTGAGGAACTACAAACTGCAAAACAGGTTAAACTGTTTAAACTTTTAATGAGAACCAACCAGACTAGAACATAAGAACATAATAAATTTACAAACAAGAGGCGGCCATTCAGCCCATCAAGCTGACTGATATCTCTGGCTAGGGTTGGTTGGATGATTCAATTTGCATTAAGCATATGACAAATCACAAACGAACCGGATCAAACTGGAGTGTGGTCATAGCAAGCAGGACGTGGCTGTTAAGTTGTTGCTTCCCCTTGTTCCATCCCCCAAAGTCATAAAACGTGCTTTTCCTATGGTGTAGGTAAAAGTGTTATTATTATTATTAGTATTATTATGTGATCAAAATTTATTAAAGGAAAAACACAATAATGGGAAAAAAATGTACTTTTACAAAACTGACTAGCCAGAAGTAATTTTGATGCTGCTTCACTTGATTGTCAGTTGAGTACATCACTGCCCATTATTGGGAAAGCTGTATTGCGTCGATATTGTGGTGTCTCAGTAGTTAGTGAAGTGTGTTTGTAATTCAAAGATTGCAGGGTCGAATCCCCGACCAGCAAGGCACCACTGAGATACCCTGAGCAAGGTACCGCCCCCAAGCACTGCTCCCCGGGCGCTGAATTAGCTGCCCCCTGCTATGTCACATTGTCACATATGGGTTAAATACAGGCGACGTGTTTTGTTGTGGTGTGTCACCACTGACCACTGATCACCTAATTCTAAAAAAATAAATTAAAATAATAATAATAATCTGATGGTCAGAATAATTTGCTTATTGTTTTATTCAGTCACAGGAGGCCACACTGAACTCTGGGGGGCTCCAGTGGCCTGCAGGCTGCACATTGAAGACCACTGTCCTAGTTCATCTGAATAGTCTATTATGTCAGAAAGAGTAACCTGGGGATGTTGCTTTGAATGAAAGAGGTTTCAAAGCATGTGAGCACTGTGATGTCATACTGAACAGCAGATTTTATCAGTGGTGTCATTCACAGGAAACACAGGGAGGTGACCATACCTGTCCGTCTTTATTTTCTACACTAAGATTTGGCGCCTCTTTGTGTATATTGATGTGTGAGTGCATTGGCTGAGTTAATGAGTATGTGGCTCAGTGGGCTAATCCTCTGTGCCTGGCATTGGAAGGTTACTGGTTTGGGCCAAACCCCAGCAGAATAATCTGTGGACCCTTGAGCGAGGCCCTTAACCCCCAGCTCCATGGGTGCCACTACAGGTGACTGCCCCTCACAGCCAAGCTTACTGTCACCTACGTGTGTGTCATGGAGAGCAAGATGGAGTAGGTGAAAAGAGAATTTCCCCATGGGAATCAATGACGTACCATTATTATCTTTATAACACTGAAAGGCAGCTCTTACCCATATTGCTTGTCTTTCCACAACTGATCCTGCCTCAGGGAACAGTGCTGAACTCCTGGAAGGTGGTATGGGTGGTGCTTTCAGAAGATGGACTGGAATTCTACAAGAAGAAGACGGATCGCAGTCCCAAGGGTATGATCCCCCTGAATGGTGCAACGCTCATGTGCCCATGTCAGGACTTCAGCAAGAGGATGGTACGTGCCAGATACCAGGATGCCCCCCTTCACTCAGAACTTATATGCTGCCTCCTAGTCTTGACTTACGATTCTAGTTGGTTACATTGAAGGTCTACTGATGATCAGACAATGCAAATATTTCATAATATTAAGTGATAAGTAATGATAACCAAAACACTTGTTTAAAAACATTACAAAGGGCAGTGATGCAGAGTCTCCAATACACTATCGACTTGATGTCGATTTATGTAGCTTTGTTTGGGTTTCATTTTGTCTCTCCTTCATACAGCTGGTATTTAAGGTCAGTTCCGCAAAAAAACAGGATCACTTCTTCCAAGCCTCCCATTTGGAAGATAGAGAATTCTGGGTCAAGGATATCAAGAGGGCCATCAATTGTTTGAATGGGGGAAAGAAGTTTGCCAGGAAGTCGACGCGGAAGTCCATAAAATTGCCGGAAACGGTCAACCTGAGGTATAAGCCGGCTAGCTGAAAGCCTGCGGTGATGGAGAATGGGCAGGCTGAGAAATGCCTCTCTCTTAAGGCTGCAGTCCCCTCCTCCAGCTGCTTCCACCCAACATCATCTCATTACGCAGTATCCCAATTGCTGAAGAGTGCACACCTGTTCCTTCTTACCCTACAGTCAGCTGTACACCCAGATGAGAGACCAGGAGACTGGAATCAAAGAGCTGAAACTCGAAAAGGAGAATAAAATATTTAATTATTGCTTCACAGGTACAAATACAAATTTCTTATACCATGATCTAATAACACCCTAATACATAATTTACACTTACCACCAATCATCCATTCATCTTCTTTACTGCATATCCGGTATGAGACACGTTTAGTCATAAATGAATAAAACATAAATAAACAAAAGATGCATTTCAGTGGTGAGGTTAAACGGGGGGTCAGTTCTCTTGTCTGTGAAGTGTCACCTTCCTCTATCTGACATGACTACCCATCATCCCTTGGCAGGAAACTCGGTCATCGACTGGCTAATTTACAATGAGAAGGTTAGAAACCGACAGGAGGGACTGATGCTGGCCACAGGCCTGCTTACTGAGGGTTTCCTACAAGCAGCTGGGGATATATCCAAGGAGGGCGCTGAGGGCACAGCAGAATCCTCCTTGTTGGACCAGTCCGATGCCTTTTACTACTTTGTGAGTAGCTCCGCCTACTGTGGGGGTAATGTTTAACACTGACTTTGTGACATGGAGTGACAATCACAGAACCCATATAACAACAATCCCTGCACTTTGGGGTCATTCCTGCAAGATCAGACTATTATATATTAACAATTTACATTAGTATATTCCTCTCGTTTCAAGATGATATTTCCAAAAAATTCTTAAACTGCTGTGAAAAACATTGCAGTCGATGATATTAATCAACAAAAAATAAAATTGCCTATGGCTCCCATGCTTTTTATCAGGATGTTCAGTGTGTCATAGAGATGTTCCACAAAGAATCCTGTAAAGAAATAGGGATAGTAAATGTAAGCTGGGAATCGTCCAATAATGTTCACATAACCAGAAAAATTTTACATAAGCCCATTCAACGATAAGGGAACGATGTAGAATATTCTAAAAATATTAGAAAATTCTTCTGAATATGCTGAAGCAATTTATTCTAAAAAAGAAGGAAAGAATAAAAATTAAACCTGATAGTAGTTAGACGGGTTAATAAAGGGGACTGATTCTTCAGCTGAGTAAAGACAGCAGAAGACATCATACCTATACATGAATGCGAGTATGTATCTCAAAATGGTTCTTTTACTTACTGTAAGAAGAGACACATTTGTGGTTTAATGGCAGGCTGACAGCGGCTTCTTCTGCGAGGGGTATTCAAGCGATGAGGACGCCATTGTGAAAGAGCAGTTCAGAGGAAACATCATCAAACAAGGCTGTTTGGTGAAGCAGGTACGACCCTGTCGGACCAACACAAACTTAAGTAGCCATCTTGGGTATGAAGGATTTACCAGTACAGCCTTCTTGGGTTATAGGAGTATATTAAGTTATGTTTAATTAACAGACAAGATCATCTGAATGCAAAAGACATCTTCATATGAATGGAACCATTTGTAAATATTCAGATAGTTCTCTTGCATCCCATGTTTAGTTTTTGAGTCTGGTGGCCAAAGAGGAAATGAAAGAGCTTCACACAGGTCCTTATAAAGACATGGCCGCACTCAGCAGTTCTGGGCTTGTCTGTTACTCCCTCTAGGGCCATCGAAGGAAGAACTGGAAGGTGCGAAAATTTGTCCTCCGAGACGACCCCGCGTACCTCCATTACTATGACCCCACAAAGGTACACCTGTCCAACTTTTTGGATGACATTTGGCCACGATGACAGCAGACACTGCACTTTTCCATGGGCAAAATAATGACTTTGCCAAATGGCTAATGGTTTGACAAAGTCATTATCTGTCCAGCATCAGTGGCTGGGTATGTTTAAGTTGAAATTCCATGTTGCCTTGCCAAAATATGCTCTAAATATATTTTTCTGCAAACATCAAATATTGCTGTAAAATATAGCTAGAAATGGAAAAAAAAACAATATATCCATTCCTAACTGAAATTAACTATCTAATGTAGTTTGCTTTTTAAAATTTGATTTTATCTTTTCATTTTAAAGTATTTCAGACATTGTCCACTGCTTCCTTGATTCTTTTGTGAATATAACCTCAAAAAAGTTAATTCTCTTTAGCAGTTTAATAGGTCTGTGTGTGTCTAGTAGCAAAAGCCATTATTCTCGGAAGCTTTTTTACGGGATACTAATATGGAAGCCTAAGGTAAAACACAGATGATGGCATCATTTCTTGTCTGGAGAACAGACATGATGCTCCCTCCCCCCACCCCCGCACACTCGCCAAATTTTAATGCCAAGATTTCAAACTAACATGGTATGCCCCAAAAAAACGCAGACCGCTACTACAAACCATCGATAATTCCTTGCCCTCCTGCATTCTTTATTTTACAAACATCTGAAACACTTTACTTTAGGGGGCACAGATGCTTAGTATTAACTCAGTTCCTACTGAAATACAAATCATGAATGAATTTAGTAGCTACTTGAAATAAAAGATGCGTCATAATTCATTAATGAACATTTGACATCAGTATCACACGTGTTACTCATCACTTGCTCCTTCAACAGTTCCTTCGTTAAGTAACATGAGGTTTGCAGACCTAACAAATACAGTAACTGTTTCAGATAAAAGATGCATCATTATTCATTAATGATGAATGAACAGATCAGTATGTAACTAAACCTTAGTAGGCCTTTGTGGTTAATTAATACACAAGTAAGAGCAAAACCACTGCTTTATTTGTGCCCCCACTAGTGAAGCGTTTCCCAAAAATCTAACTTTAAGTTAAAGGCAAGAGGTCAATCTCAGGAGTAGGACCTTGTGAGGTTTATGTAATTTATGCCCCATGTCTGTCCTCCCCCCCCCCCCACCAGGGTGATGAGGACCCACTGGGCTCCGTCCACTTGCGTGGGTCTGTGGTTACGGCCGTGGAGCACATTCCGGAGGGTAAGATGCTCCGCAGTGATTCCCAAGGCTCGTCGCTATGGGAAAATGCTACATTAACCCACCACCCCCCCCCTCCCCCCCACAGCTAAGAAGTATGACATAGAGGGGAACCTTTTTGAGATCATCACATCAGACGAAAAGCATTACTTCCTGCAAGCTGCCTCGACAGAGGAGCGCAAGGAGTGGATCAACAACATTCAGATTGTGGCCAAGTCCGGAAAATAGTGTCAGGGGCAGGACTGGGGTGTCATACGTGTCTGAAACCAATTAGACAGCTTAACCTACTAAGTCAGAAGAACTGGGCGATAGGGCACTGTCAAAAAAACAGAAATACTAACAGCCTCACTCTTTATTATTATTTTCACGAAAATGCTTTTGTTTTCGTCATTTATGAAGCTGATGTAAGAGATTACATCTTTACTTCCAGTTGAGTACAAGCACTGTGTCGGTTTTCATGATTAAAGAGTATGTTTTTGTGGTAGAGTTGCCTTATTTCAGTGACAACAGCAACACTTTTTTGGACCAAGATGTGAGCAGGAAATAAGAAAAAAAAGGGTGTGATTGTGGTGGGAAATCCTTCGGAACTCTTCGCGTTTTTGAGACAATCGTTATTGATTCCGTGCCACATAAAGACATTTTGCAGTCTTAGCTCAGTAGACTAGCAGACACAGAGAAGCTCACATTTGCACGTCGAGACAATTAACTTATTTTGTTGTTGTTTCTTTTCTTTATTTAATCTTTTGAGCTGTTTTTTGTTAAGTAACCACTCGACTGGCGTGTGGCTGTTTGGTGACCACAGGGTCTGAATGCAGTTGCCAGATAGCAGCGCGGTCTCTGTCATTATCTGCTCTTGAGGATTCGCCATCAGGCCAGTTTTCACATTTACAATCATTTTATTTTCCACTGACAGCAGCCTTATTAGGCTCGAGTTGAATTCTAAATAACCATCTTTAAGCATTAGTAATCGTATCAATGAAGCAGGAAATAACTGAACGGGTAAATCCCTAAGATGAACAAAAGTCAGTGTAATTAGTTTATTATACACCGAAGGGTTGTACATAGCGTTGTCTGGTTATGCTCAATGGACATAGCTTGAGAAATCTTGTGGGGAAAAAGAAGTAAAAAAAAATAGCAACCAGCTTGTTTCCTGTCACTGACACATATTGCGTACCCCCCCCCCCCCCCCCGCCCTGCTGCCACCACCCTAAACAGAAGCTTGAGAAATTCCCCTTGCTGCAACCGTATGTGACAAGCTTTTCTCCTTTCTGTTTACACTGTAAGTTTAATTTCCCTTCCCTGTCTCGACCGGCAATTGTCACTCCTACATAGGCCCCTTAACAATGAACGGGCAACACCGAGGAAGCGGTTCTCACTGAATTGCTATTTCACTTTCACAAAGGAAAACATGGCTGCAACTTATGGACCAAACCATTTCCTTTGGCAAATAGGGCTTACTTAGTTACTCAAGAACCAGAAAACCCAAGGCGGAGCTGACACCTTATAAAGTTACATCGCAAGAGTCAGTTGAATTCAAAAAGAAGCAAGTGTTTTTAGAAGCATAACAACTTCTCAGGTGCTGGTTGATTATATGTCTTGTGTTTTTACAGCAATATCAACACCATTGAATGACATGCTTGTCTCAAAAGTTTCTTTTACATGTGGTTTTTACCACAAGGTGTCGCTGTTACACAAATTTGAAACCACCCTTTCTGAAGAAGTAATTGACTGTTTAGACTTTAGAGAGTTGTCTGCAGCATGCTTTAAAAATCCGGAGGACCCCCATGAAAACTTTTGCTAAATTTTGCCGACGGGAGGGAGGAGGAGCCCCCCATGATAGATGTTGCTGGCCCACGTGTACCTACCTATCACCCCACCAGGAAAATGCCAGGTGTGCCAGATGCCCAGTCCAGCCCTGGCGCTTGTCCCAGGAAGCACAGGGCATAACGCACGATGGGACAGTCACCTACCCAGTCCCATACTCTGGGCAATTTAGAGACACCAGTATCCTCAAACTGCAAGTCTTTTTTACTTCAAGACTTCAAGACCTTTTATTGTAATTGTACAGTTGCCTGGACAACGAAATTAGCTGGCAAGACCACGAAGATGCAAGAAAAGTGACAGTGTCAGTCCAAGATATAAGAACAATATAAAAACACAATATACACAATGTATAAGTGCAAGAGACATTGGGGGGGGGGATATGCAAGGGTATCATAAATATATGGTAGGAAACGCAAATAAACATGACTCACAAGAAGGGTGACCACTGGCATGGCACTATAAAGGAGGACTACGTCTTAAAAAGGAGGGCGCCCATGAAAGGTTTTTGAGCAGGGTGGGGGGGGGGATTATGTCGTGCACATACCATGGAAGCCGTGAACCATATATCTATCGGGATAATTATCTCGTTATCGCGATAGAAAGGCATAAGAAATACTTCCAAGCGCAGCAGTTCCTGACGTCTATAGTATGTGTGTACAGGTGTTTCACGCTTAAGGGTGGAAGACAGTGGCACTAGTTGTTTACAGGGAGGTGGGTTAGGGGGATGGAAAGATGACGACAAGAGGACAGAAGGCATCTGGACAGGATGATGGAAAACCAGCTCAAGGGAGTAACTTTGGTTTTAACACTGGGGGGAGTGGAGGTCTCCATCCATTTAGGGGGAGACATGATTATTGGGGGGGTTGTATTGGCCGGTTTTGATTATTGGGGGGTTAAAGCCACCCCCCTGTAATTTATGCCCATGGTCCAGCCACAATGTAGATGTATAAAGTTAAAGTAGGCATTTATGGTTTTATGTAACCTCGCACATTCCCGATCATTAAAGTGTTTGCAGCAAACCCTTTTAAACAAATTCTATCCAACATGCATGAAAATGTTCATATGTGAATAATTCCTCTTTCCTGGAATTTGGAGCAAAATTCTGTTGCCTCGCATCGCCTGATTGGCAGATGCAAGCTGGCCAATCAGGCCACCTGGAGCAGAGAGCATGTTGCTTGGAGGTCCATTGTTTTTGGTGTGAATAGAATGACCGGCTGAGTCAGATGATAAGGCTTACAAAGGATTTTTTGATGACGGCATCATTGCTATTCCTATTCTGAGGACACCGACTCTCATTTCTGCATTTCACCATTCACAGCCATTTTAATCCATTGCAGTGTTCAGGACCTGAAGGGCACATGGGAAAACAAAGCCATGGCCAGACAAGCAGCGTCTGTCTTCCAGGCATTAGCTGCGCGCAGCCTTACTCAGGAGGCATATATTATACTGCTGTGCAGGACTGTGAACATGCAGGTGGAAATCAGAGATAAAGGAGCTATGATGAAGGAAAAGAGACCAGGTTTTGGTCATTTCAGTCCATCATAAACGCTAGCTGGTGAGGGGGGCTCGTTTTGGACTATAGTTCCAGGCCTCATACTTGGTTGCTACAATTTTTGCTTACCCTTCCAGCTTGAAATATAAGCAGATTGGGATCAATTCTTCTGTTTCAAATGATACACCACAAGGGACTAATGTGCAGTTATTCTGATTTTGATATACTCATTGATCAGACACCACCTATCCATGCTCCAATTTCATACTTGCCCCTATGATGTCCTTGAAGGCTGGGCTCAGTCTTCCTTTTCAGGGGCTCTAGGTGCAGTTTTACTTTATACTCTGCCTATGGCTACAGTTGACCTTGGATGAACCTGTTTCTGTGGCTGAGAATATCTGGAATCTTTGAGTCATTGTTGGCTTTGATTACTTCAACTTCAGCCACTTGCTGCCTAATGTGTGTGGAATTGAGAACCATTGAGGTTGGAGTTGTAGTTGCCGTGAGGCGAGTTCTTCAAAGTTAGACCTAAGAGCAGGATTCTTAAAACCCATAAACGAGTAAGTCAAGTAGGGTGACTTTCAAAAATGAAAGTTACCAAAGAAATGAAAGAAGATCAGATTGGTAAGAAAGAGGAATCAAACTGGCAAACAAAACTAAAATATCATGAGACAGTTGATAGCATTCACAAGGAACTGAGCAGGTATAAAAAAGAACATGGATTTGAAACTACAGCTGTAAGAGTGAGGAACTGTTCTTTTGCACGTTTTCTTTGGAATCTACAAGCCAGCTGTGAGTATTCATGATCTTGCGGTTTGCCACAATCAAGCTAAGGGGCTTGCCACCAGCAAGTCAGAACGACAGTGACAAGAACAGCGTGTACTACTCTTCCTGTTCTACATGAGTGGTTAGGATGGAAGACTACAGGAGAAGTGGAATTTAAATGTATATCCCTGTAAAAAATCAGATGGCCCAGGTTGAGCCTGAAGATATCATTGATCCATGACGTGCATCACAAGCTAGAGAGGTCTCTTGTAGCCTGTATTTAGTTTTACTCTGGGCTGTTTGGCAGATTTAAGCCTTGTCTGGGAACCTAGAGTGATCAAGCAAGGCAAAGAGGTAAGTGAACCAGGACAGGAGACGTGCATTTCATGGAAGGCCACAACTACCTTATATGGCCATTAATAAAACAAAAGCTTGACATTCAGCACTTTATCGTTATGGAAAGGTGCTGCTGCTGTCTGGTACAGGTCACTACTCGTACATTGTTGCCCAGCAACCAAAGAACACAATGACTTCAGTGGTAATTTGGCGCAACCTCCTCCTAAGGAGAGCACTCTACCCATGGAGAAGGAACTAACTGTCTTGAGGAATAGTCCTTTCTAATGATGTTTCTGCTTGATGCCAATTCCACAATGGTTGTTCTGGTACCGGAACTCCTGCAAGCAGCACTCTTCAAGGGAATTGGCAAGCCCACCTGATGGGTGGATTCGGCTTTGCTCAGAGTGGGAGTGACAGGAGTGATACAGGACTATAAAGAATGTCACACAAAGGTAGCCAAAAGGAGTGCCCAGGTTGGCGAAAGATAAAGACAAATGACTGAAGGAAATAATCCATTAACTGAGATATTCCTGAATAAACCATAAAAGCAAACATTCAATGAGAATAGAAAACAGAGGACGAACACAGACAAGCCACTCCAAAAGCCATACCACTGTTCAACTCTCAAGAACTACCTGATTCCTGCTATGTTAGATTAAGACAAAGCATGTGGTAACAAACAATGGGCACTTGGAAAATGAATGTAACAAGCCACAAGTAAGGTCAGTGGAACAATGATCATGAGTCATAATCCTATATAATTTTCTAAAGGGATGTTAAATCTTTTGGAGGACTTAAACAATTCCCTCTGGTCCCCTCTAGTGGCCATCCTGAGTATTCCTTTCATAGAGCGATGAACGCAGCTCATAAAATTCAGCTTCAATCTTAGAATGTCTTGCAAAGACATTTTTGTTACACTGCGAAAAAAATAGCCGATATTAAGTTTTCCAGCTGTAATGTGTTTTGACAAAAGCAAGCGAAGCAGTTTTTAATCACTGATTCTTGTTGTCCAATACACGGACAATGATGTACACCAATATGTTTTTTTCAATTCAAGCCTTTTCATT